TATATTCGAAATTTGAAATGGCAAAACTGTAATATTTTCTGTTCCACATCAGCAATCTACGAGCTTTCGTTAAGTTTACTATGGAGATACTGGAAAATGGTCGGTTCACCTCCCTGGATGTTTTAGTGGAAACAACTTAATACACTTTTCGCTGAAAATTTTGAATTAAGATTGTAGTACTTTGATCTACTTTCTTTTTTCTCTCGGAATTGTTGGCCATGTTAACACATCTATAATATCAACACCTCTAACACGATCTTCTCTCGTTTTTCATCACCCTGTACATTTCCTGAAAACGTAAAATTAGCATTTGGTGCCGTAAAATCCTCGGCGAAATACTGCTATGGAATTAAAAAACGCGGTCAAATAGTCACACTTAGAACATTACTTCTAGCGCCTCGCTTTGAATGAAATGAAGGTCTGAGTTTAATTTATCCACTTAATGGCTCTAAATGCTTTGGCCATATTAAATGAAAATATTCAAGGAAACTGCGAATTGCAATTTTATGCAAATTGTTAATGCACCATATATTTACTTTATATATTACTTTATATTTCTTTGTTATTAAAATCTCCATTTACATTTTATTATTAAGGTCGTACCATAAAACAATATGAGTGAACAACAATCAGCAGTCGATGATAAATAATTTCAATACTTTATCAATGAAGATTGAAAATAATCTTGCTGTTGTTTGAGGTTTTTTGTGCTAGTGAATTAATCGAAAGTCAAATCACGGTCCAAAATTAATAAACCGGATTTCACACTACCATAAGATTTCGCAGATTTCACGTATTCTTTATATTTTTCGATAATGTTGAAAATTTGGGTATCTTCTTCTTTAAGTGCCGTCTTCGTTGCGAAGGTTGGCAATCATCAGTGCTATTCGTATTCGTGACACAGCAGACCGAAATAGTTGGTTTGTGGTGCACCCGAACCAGTCCCGTAAGTTTCTCATCCATGAGTGACGCCTTCTTCCTACACTTCTCTTTCCTTGAATTTTTCCTTGTAATATCAGTTGGAGTAGTTGGTGCTTTTCTCCTCTCATGACGTGTCCAAGGTACTGAAGTTTACGCTTTTTTTACCGTAATGATAATTTCTTTTTCCTTTTTTATTCTTTTCAGGATTTCCATGTTGGTCACTTTATCGGTCTTAAGTATTCTACGGTACAACCACATTTCGAACGCCTCCAGTTTCCTTATGTCCAGTTTCTTCAGAGTCCAAGCCTCTACACCATAGTACAGTACCGACAAAACATAGCATCGCACCATTCTGATTTTTAAATCCAGGCTGAGATCGCTGCCACAGAGCAATCTTTTCATTTTTCACAAATGTTGTTCTCGCCTGTCCTATTCTAACTTTGATTTCTTCAGAGCAGTCGTTATTTTTATTTACAATTGTACCTAAGTATTTATAACTGTCAACTTTTTCTATGGAGTGGTTATTTATATGAATTTGTGAATTGTTTTGTGCTGTTTTTGATATTATCATAAATTTTGTCTTTTTTACGTTTAGTGATAGTCCGAACTCTTCACTCGATGTATTAACTTTGTCTACTGCAATCTGTAATTCGTTTAGGTTGGTAGCTATCAGGATCGTATCATCCGCATATCTTATATTGTTGATAGGCACTCCGTTAATTTTTAGTCCTTTCGTTTCATCGTCCAATGCTCGTTTCATTATTTCCTCTGAGTAAAGGTTAAATAACATCGGTGATAACACGCACCCCTGCTTAATGCCTCGACGGATTTCTATTTCTTCGGTGTTATTCCCTTCTTATTTTTACCACTGCTTTTTGATTAAAATAAAGATTCGTAATAATTTTTATACCTTTGGTGTCTAAGTTCTTCTCTTTCAGAAGCTGGATAAGTTGTTCGTGTCGGACCCTATCGAAGGCTTTGTTGTAATCAATGAAACATATATAAAGATCCTGATTCATATCCATACTTCGTTGGGCGAGAACGTTCAAGGCAAATATTGCTTCTCTTGTGCCTAAGCCACCTCGGAAACCGAATTGAGTCTCGCTGATATCTTGTTCTAATGTTTTGTATATCCTGTGATGTATCACTTTCAGAAATATTTTTAGCATATGACTCATTAGACTGATTGTTCGAAAGTCTGTGCATTGCCTTGCATTATGTTTTTTTGGGATAGTGACGAACGCTGATAGCAACCATTCCCTGGGTATAATACCTGTTTTGTATATGGTGTTGAACAGATCTGTTAGACTGTGTATGTTTTCCTCTTCTATCAATTTGAGAATTTCAGAGGGTAACTCATCAGGCCCTGCAGCTTTTCCATCTTTTGTGATTTTTATAACATGGATGACCTCTTCTTTAGTTATTTCCGGTCCACTGTTTTCTTGTTCTTGTTCTTGTTTGGGTATGAATTCTTTTAATTAAAAAACTATTGAAGTAAATAAACTTATGAAAACCTCTTTTTATAAATTTCATAGAATTTTAAAACAATCATAAAATTGGTCGCGTTAGAAGAAGAATTGATTTTTTGTTGTGGAGTGCGCAAAATCCTTAGAAACATTAAAGGTAATACTTTGCTTTTTTTTTTAAATAAAAATTTAGTGAAATGACACCTAAATGGGCTAGTGAAAACCGTACCTCAATATCTTATTCCTAACTTAAAATATATATGAAAGAAAATTTAGCTATAAAATTTCAAATTACATCAGCATTCGAGATTCTATAACAAAATTTCATAATTTCCTTGAATGCCCTGTGTTTGTGCTGTATTTGTGGCAACTTATTACTTGTTTTACCACCAAATAAGTCCTTTCGTCCCATATTTCATTTCGTTGGCAACAACAGATACGACAATGTCGGCGTAATAAATAACAATGAGTTTTTGTGGAGGTACACGAGGCAGTCTGCTTGATAAATGTTAAATTTCCGTTGCAAACGGCTGCAAACTGTTTTTTCACGAGATCGCGATCGTTACTTGGGGGAGGGGGTATTTACGAAATAGTAAAAAATCTATGCTTAATAAATCATAAAATATTTGCAAGAAATTTTGAAAATGGCTTTTTGGCTTGCAAACATTTTAAGTCTTCTCGGTCATTGCCTGTACACCAGAAAACCTTATATTAAATTTTATGCACGTTCTCGATTTTATTTGGCTATATGGTAATAATTAAACAAATTAGTCAAAATTTTATTTGAGTAGTTCTAGGATACACAATATAAATATAATAAAAATCCAATAACTGACAAATTTTCTAAACTCCCCATTGAATTAATTGGCTACCTAAGGCAAATTTTAATACCACATTATATTTAATATTTGAAGATTTCTTAATTAAATAAAGAATTAAAATTTTACAAATTAAAGAGTTGAGCCATGGTTTCATACTCAATCCCCACGAACTTAAACAGTTCAATATTATAGCAGATTATGATATACCATTTTAAAAATACTCAATACTCAAGTAGTCCCCCAGACAGACTTGCATAAACATCCATTACCATTGTTATTGCTCACTCAATAGAAAATTTTTCAATTTATATTTATTTTCAAAATTTTACAATTTTATGGAAGTGTGTACATGGCAATAGACTGAAACGTAAAGCATGCCAAAAATATAGCAGTCTTATATTGCGGAAGGTATCATACTGATCGCTAAACCTAATTAACCTTGAATGAACACCTAAAGTTTTTCTTAAGGCATGGAGGTACCGACGGATCTGAAATAATTTTATGAGTAAATGCCACTGAGTGGTACAACATCCTAGTCTTCGTGAATAAACGTTTGTCCTCTTTTATTTTATGTATTGTCGATTGAAATTTTCTAATACCGATAACGCGATAAACGATAACAGGACTGTATTTTTTGAATTCTCTTTTTAAATATTTGTGTCAAGGTAGATTTCAAAAGTTTCACTAGTTAAAATCTAAATATTTAAAATATTCTCTAAAACATAGATATCTAATATAAAATAAAATATTCGATGTGAAAAAATGAAAATTTCAGTATTTTGTTTTCACCGGTATATTACTTGGCCACACAAAACTATTGCACGAGACCCTTGCAAACCATGGCTAAAATTTCAACTCGATTCCGATTCAAATTGGACTGTACTAAATATTTCATTTTGACTATGTATTGAGCAAAAAATAGGAACAATAATTATTTTCTGCAAAAAATAACTAGAAATTCATGGAAAAATCAACATTCCAATAATAAACTGGGTGGGTATTTAAAATATCAAACTTGATGCTAATTTTTAGAAAACTAGCACATTAGCATTTGGTATAAAAATACTCCAAGAAACGTAGTACTCGAACTATACTTATTTGTTTTATTTTCTGCGTTAATTTAAACGGCATCAAATCATCAATTTCATTAGAGAGACTCCAGTTAATTATATATTACGGTTACCCAGGGCAGAAAGTTTGCCTACATTAGAAGCTTCAAGGGTGACAATGGAGTCGTCGAGAATAATATTTCCAAACTTCGAGAGATCATTTGGCATATAATGTCAAACAAAGGTGCTAAAGCCTGTCGATGGGTGTTAAAAATTTACAATTTGCAATATTATACATAAAAGAAATATAATTTATAACTTATCAACAAAGGTCGCATGCTTCCTCTTTGCATCCTTCCATGATAACAATGTTATGAAGAGCTCTTAACAAGTTCTCTGAGGTCATTTCCATAACGACTTAGTCAAACAGCATTGTTTTTTGCATTGCATTGCATTTTTTGTCTTAGCAACACACATTTTTACTTAAATTTGCAGTGATGATATAGTGATAAGGGCAGCACGGCATTACTTTGTATTCGGGCTGTACCTACATTAAGGATATTTTATGCTCAGTTAACAAATAAGTAGCCAACCGAACTAACAAATGAGCAACCTTTGTGTATAAAGTGTAAAATACAAAGCAGTATTTTTGACATAGAACTCATGAGAAATTCCTACACAATTGCTCCACACTCTGTGTTTTCCCATGACACACGGATTCTAATTCAATGTTTTCTCAACAGGTAAACGTTTTAAGATGGAAACACATGAGAATAAGTTTAATAAGTTGAAGTGGATTTTGACCAAATCCAGCTCATGGAATAATTCCGTCGTAACTGAACTTCCTATTGATTTTCAAGTGCCCAGTACGGAACTAGAAAACAACGTCAACGAAAACCCCGTTCTGCCAAAGTCGACGAATGGTTCGTCGAATGTCGCGAGCTTACAAAAGGTGAGTAACTGACGTTGAATTTTGAAATTTGAAGTGAAGTGAAACCTGGGAATGAATAGTTGATTTAAAACATCGGTCAATGAGAATATGTAAGAAGTTAATTTTGATAGTCCAGAAGTTGAATTATATCTCCAACTCCATAATTTGATACGATTTTTTATTACAAGAACCAAATATCCCAAAATTGGGCTAATATTAATTTATATTTGGAGTAACAAATGACACCTAGGACCTGCTTTGTCGAATAGCTTCTATTCAACAATTTAAGGATCTACCATTTTATAAAATCCTACTCTTGAGAGTCGTCTTTCATTTGCAAGTAACATGCCATTCTTTTTCCAGCAATTACTTGATGACGTGTCCGCACTGTATTTTAAATGTTGATTAGTGGAAGTCTGGCGCAAAGGAAGGAACAAAAAAGTAAACTGTTGAGATGCATAGTTAAGGTTATACTGAATGAATCTACTTTTGCTAGTCAGTATCAAGATCATGTTTCAGAGAAGAAATAAAAAAGTCATATTTTAAGAATATTAAAAAATGATTCTCTTTTCTCTTTTATTTGTTACAATAATAAGCGAATCTGAAAAAAATGAGTGACTTTCCAAAAATCATAATTATTGAATTTGCAAGTAAACTTTTACCTAATGTAAGATTATGTTTTGTAGTTAAAAAGGTAGTGGGAAAACGACGTCTTACAATACTTACCCATTTCTATGGAGACGTGGAAGTAATAACAGCTAAAAAAAAATTAAAATCAAAGAATTTCAATGTACCCTTATACAGTTCATCTAAGCCTAGGTCACTTTTTTCTTTTTATTTTTATGCGCTGCTAAGTTAAACCAAAGATCACCCATAGGAGAGCAAACACAGTAATAGCAAGTGTTTAGAGAATAGATTACAGAAAAGTAAGAGGGGATGGAATGAGTAGACAAACTTAGTAATATGGTTATGCGACTGTGGAGGTTGAAATATTGAGAGGAGAAGGCATAAAGCTGATTTAGACGTAAATTATTAACATCTGGAGCTACCTTTCAACCGTAATGGAGCAAATGCGACGGCCAAAACATCTGGTGAAACTGGTTCGCAACCTCTATCAGAAAAACGGCACGAGAGTCAGAATCGACGGGATTTGCTCGAAAACCTTCAGAACGACCGCAGGAGTTAGACTGGCAGGTCGGATTATCTGTCGGCTGATCACAGCGTCAATCATATCACCAATAACAAATTATCTGGCTTAAAAAAATATAAATCGAAAACGGAAATAATGATTGTTGATAGACAAGACAATTCTCCACAAACATCAGAAATTGGAGGCTATTCATAAACAATAATTACCATTACTGGGAAATGTGAAGGCGACACACGCCGTCGTCTGAACATGGCAAGATCAGCGACTACCAAGCTAACCTAACGAAACTCCGTCTAGTTGATGTTCTAATCTTCCCCATTACAACTTACGCAGCGGAAACATTGACTCTAAACAAAACAAATAAAAACCGAATAAAGGCTTTCGAAATATGAGTTTATAGACGACTTTTACGAGTCTGGTGGTCAGAGCATCTAACCAACATATCCGTGTTACAAGAAATTTGTCCGAGTATAAATAGTACTTGGGGAATATAGCTAGAAGATCAGGAACAATAAAACAACTAATCATAGAAGGAATTGTAGAAGGCAAACGCCCAAGAGGCAGATCTCGAACTGCATGATGATGAAAGGATAGCACAAGATAGGTATGGAATCAACTGTTGAATCAAACATAAATGGTGTCACTATATCGTTTGGAAAGAGAAGGAGGATTTACAAATATTCTGGATTGCACCTGAGCCGGTTATTGATGAATGAAACTTTCTGACGTTTCGCCAATCATCCTGACGGCTTCAGAGTTTAACTGAAACTGCTTTGCATTCCACTCTGTACCTGCTTACATAGTATTTGTGGCAGACGGTGCTAAAGAAAGGACATGAATATTGTGTCGGATGACTGCAATGATTCTATGAAAAACTATCAGGAACCGCTATGGATTGTCCATTTCACCAGTCAATGGAAATAAATTTATGAAAGGTTTATTATTTTTATTATTTTTTATTGTTTGGCCTCATTTGGCTTCATGGTCGCAAATTTTCTTAACTATTAAAACTCTACATAATAATATACGTTTTTCCGTTGCGTTAGAAACTAATAATAATCTCCCATTCTCAGATATTTGTATTAAAAGGAAATCACACACAAGTCGATACCTAAATGTTATCATCCCAGAAGCCATCGATTATCACTCTCTCGTTTACAAAGCCATAAAATGTCTCAACCCGAATCACTGGATCCAGAATTAAAACACCGTACATTTACTCTTATCTCAAATAATTTGCGAGATATTAGGCGTTCTTAACAAATATAATGTGAAAACCAAATTTGCGTCTTTTCCAAAAATCTTCTCCATATTTGATTTATCAAAGGCAAAACTCCGTTTGAAGCTCCACGATTTTATAGGGTTTCCATGCCTATGCAGCTATGGAGAATACAGGACCAAAATTATCAACTGCGCTAAAAAAAAGACTACTACAAATAATATATATGTTCCAAAGTAAGTAATACAGATATGTTAATTTCCGACTCATCTGTACAACATACTGCGGTTTGCTTGTAGCAATTATGTAAAAAGCTTATGAAAATTATTTCACATTAAAGCTAAGGCTCTATTCATCACAGAAGTCGCAATTTAGCCGAGATTAATCAAAATTTCAGGGCTCGGGCATGTTCTATCCGAAGTAAAATTATGATATATGGTGCACAGGATACTAAATATCCATTTGTCTACACCTCATTGATGAAAAATTATGTATTCGAATCTCGTATAGACACTAATAATAATTCGGAATTGTAATAATCACCAAAAGGAGACACGGCTTATCTGTGTCATTAAAAAAGAAATATAACTTTACAACTACAAGTAGCAACGAGTCTATAAGTGTTTACGTAACGAGTTGGAAAAGACCTTATTTTGCGGATGGCGTGAATGCTTCAAATTTAATTTGGGCATGGGGTTTTAAAAATAAATTTGTTTAAAATAATCAACGGTGTCAATTAAATTATTCAAATCCAAATATTATAAAATATTACATCAAGCAGCTATCTGGCAATAAATACTAATTTCTTTTCGCGGAGTAAAACTAGAGGTTGCTTACCACCGATATGAAAAGAAAATGGGCGGCGAGCTCGGAAGAGCTTTAAAGTGGACTGTAGGCTTTAAGAATTTAGAAATAATACCGATCGCCAAACGGGCCGCTAAAGAAGTTTGAGGTCTCACCTTAAGCGCATGCCTCCGTCTCCTCAGCAGGCCTGCTTCCTCTTTGGTGTAAGTTCTGCTACTCAGTTCGCAGAACTGACCGGGTGTTACGACACGGACAACATAAACGCACAACGAGAATCTTAAGAATTAAAGTTCCCTTCGCGGAAAACGAGCAACAGATCTCGCTGCTGCCGCACACGGAATGAAAATTCACTCCCGATCGGCTTGACGCAAAAAAAAACTTTAACGGCCATACCGCGGTAAAAAATGTTCCAGCAACTTAAATTTTTATTTGAGTACGCACAAAATTATTTGTACCAAAAACCCGACTAAACCTAAGAAAACTTTCTCTCTTTGCAAATTACCAAAAAATAAAGTAATTAAAAAAAATTATATATATACAAGGACAGACGTGTAATCTGTCCAAATACATTGTAGTTAATTTATTCAATGTTAACAAAAAATTTCTAAGTTGTTTTTAATGAAAGTGTAACAATAATAATAAAGGAGGAAGACGGCGGCATGGTGAAGTTTTGAAACAGCATAGGGTCACATCCAGAACATCGCAATGGCCAAAACTCCAGCATAACATAAAAGGAATTAAGAGTGAGCCATATGTCACAGATGGAAAAGACGGAAATTACTGTTAAACTTCTGAAGGCAATTACTCAGCCGGGATACTGTCAAGCGGTCGGGGTAGACGAGATAAGCTTTTTGGTGGAAAAATGATGATAGCGCTGATTTATCTGCTATGCTTTCGGTCCGACATCTGGTGCATGGGGATATGATGGTCAAAAAGGAACGGCATATAACGCAACTGCAGGGAGCACATCTAAAAAGAAAACTTACATGTTGAATAGTGCATTCTATTTAACCCTACCCCAGAATCCATCCTGCATATTTTGCCAGAGTGCTCTCATAGCATAACTGTATCTCTTGAAGTTACTGCTACAACATAATATGTTGATTTCTAATATTCGTTGGTAAATAAATTAAAATCATACCGAAGAGACAAAACCCAAATTACGGACTGACAAACTACCTACAAGCCGTGACCAAAAAATAGTAGTTTGGAAGGCGCCAATAAAATTTATGTTTTTATTGATTGTTGATATGTTTGGGTGAAAGCAAATAAAGCAATTGGGGAAAAATGGCTGGCAGAAGTTGGGTTTGGTTTGAAAGAGTTTAGGTAGGGAAATTCGTTCTGGTGTCAATTGTAAATGGAAGAATAACTCTGTGAGATGAAATATTAATGAATTTCTGTGTTTGAAATGAAAGTTATTCTCGCTAATTTTATGAATAATAATAATTTATTCAAATAAAAACTACAATATGATTCTATCATCGTGCGCTTATGTTGGCCTGAAAGAGTTCTTAGATAGGTAGTATTCAAGAAAATATATGTAAAGAAAGAAATATTCTAAAAAAAAATTAATCCGTATTACAAGTGCTAACCCTACTTTATTTGAGAGAGGAGGAATATGATCTCCTAAGAAGGTATTGTAAAATAAATTAATAAAGTTAAATGACATTTTATTTTTATTTTAAATATTAACAGTAATAATAATAATATACATACCCCTATTAAATTTAAATCTGAACTTGGGATAAATAAAAAAATAAGATATCATAGTATCATTTGTGATAAAATTAATAACACTTAATTAAGCTTGAGTTGCGGAACTCAACAGCTATCTTAAGTGTTACTTAT